GTCTTAGCTACATCCAGAGTAGCTGCACCAAATATTTTATGTTGAGAGATTTAATCTTGAAAGATTTTTACCTAAATAATAACAGAATTCTATGTTCAACTTTTTCTTTTGTCTGTCTGTTTTGTAGACTGAAACCCCCTCTGGACTTATTTTAGCACCAACAAGAGAATTAGCAATTCAGATAGAGAGACAAGCTAAAGAACTGATGGCTGGTTTACCAAATATGAGAACAGTCCTCCTTGTGGGAGGATTACCCCTGCCACCACAGCTTCATCGTCTCAAGCAAAGTGTGAAGGTAAGGACAAAAGTGGGGAAGGATCCTGTGAAGAGCTGTGTTTTAATGACATTCACATTTTGACCTGTATGGACCCAAAACGTATGGAGTTTTTTGTTAAATCTAAACCAGCAGAAATAATTGTCAGCTCTTGAAAAATTTACAGTATTTTTTAATGTTTGGTTTCTGTTTATACAAACAATAGCTCTATTTTTCAAAAGGATTTATTTTCATGCATAATACTGCTGTTCTCAGTGAAATATACCATTTTATTAGATAAGAAATTGGAAGCTACAATTCATTCTTTTTTAAAAAGTTCTTTAATGTGGATTACATTGCTGGTACTTAGAAATTTTCATTAGGGTACTAAAAAGTCCATTTTCTCTTGAGGCTCCATAATGTGTTGTTACCTGTAAAGATTTCAAGACTCAACTTGAACATAAATAATTTCACTGATTATTGCCCTTCTCATGGACGTGCTGTAACCTAGTTGTTTTTCTAAGATAGTCATATTTTCTTTCATGAAGTTTTTGCTGCCTTTTATTTTTGTTGTCTTTTGCTAGGTTATAATTGCAACACCTGGAAGACTTCTAGAGATTTTAAAGCAAAGTTCTGTTCGACTCCATGGAATAAAAATTGTAGTAGTGGATGAAGTAAGTTTTTAGTTATTGGAGCTGTATTGTCTATAGAGAGGTTATTGAAGACTCAGTGTGGATGCCTAGTTAAACTAAGTACATTAAAATATGAAATATACTTCTTAACAGAAAAAAATCATTTTTTAAAATTACGTGGAATGTATTTGAACCATGCATGCACTATTGGTTATAAAAGACTTGCACACCAGACAGACAGGGGAATACAGATTGAAGCAGTTGATTTTCATTTCTCACTTTTCTTCTAAAAATACTCCTGCATTTTGGATAATTACATGCTAATTATGAACTCACATAAGACCCAGAATGTTTACGTTGAAGATACTGCTGTTTACTGAAAAGTCTTATACAGATCTAATATATTTTACTTAGGTGGATACCATGTTAAAAATGGGTTTCCAGCAGCAAGTGTTGGATATTTTGGAAAACATTTCTCATGGTCATCAAACCATCCTGGTGTCAGCTACAATTCCAGTGGGCATTGAACACTTGGCAAATCAGCTTCTGCACAATTTTGTAAGAATAACAATTGGAGAAAAGAATCTGCCGTGTTCTAACGTTCGCCAAATTATCTTATGGGTGGAAGAACCATCTAAAAAAAAAAAGCTGTTTGAAATATTAAATGTAAGTATAATATTTTTCTCATAGAAATTATCCGCGTATCTTTACACACCTGTGTCATGATGTCAGCTTCTCATCTTTGATTCTAATCTGTGTGTAGTGAAAATGTGCAATGAGGTTAAGCACATAACTCCACTAACTATTTCAGTAGTTCTTAACAGAATAGCTTTGATGGCAATTTAGGGATTTTTCCACCCTTGTTCCTCACACCATCTTTTGTGCAGCAGCAAACTGGATCCCTCAATGGCCCCAGTTAAAAATGACTTTTTTTTTGGTGGTGGTTTAGTATATATGGTACCTCCATGAGTTGTACCAGCATATCTGTAAACTGGAGAGGAATACAACTTTCTTAAGCAGATAGAGCTGCTTTTTGATCTGGAAGTGGTTTGTCTAAGTCATGAAAGAAAGCATCAAGAAAGTGAATATTGTTCTTTATAACCTTCTTGTGAATGTTTATCAGTAATGATGGCCTTAATCCCTTGTGTATTTTTATGAGAAATTGGGGAGGAAGGTGATCTTGGCTGAAAAATAGTCAGCTTTATCTTTTAAGTTTAGCTCAGCTACAGAACTTGCAGAAGCCAAGATTGTCATGTAATTTTTAAAGAAACTTTTAATTCAAAAATTGTGTAAGGAGATGAAAGGATTCATAAGAATCAGAACCCATATTTATACTCTTTCATGTATAGATTTGTTTAGTTTTAGTGCTGATTACTTCTTTCTTACCTAGAATTTAAAAATGTTTATTCATCCAAATGTGATGTTAATACTACAGAGGTAGTGAGCAGCAGAAATTGAATCCAAGTTGCTGATGATGATCAGTGGACTGTTGTAGTACCTTTTTATCTAAGCAGTTTAATTATACAGGATAAGAAACTCTTCAAGCCTCCAGTGTTGGTGTTTGTGGACTGCAAACTAGGAGCAGATTTGTTGAGTGATGCTGTTCACAAGATTACAGGACTGCAATGTGTATCCATGCACTCTGAAAAATCTCAGGTGGAAAGAACAGAAATATTACAGGTTTGTGCTTCCTAGAGTCACAAGGTTTTAATAGATTTTTAAATGGCTAATCTTATTTTTTAAGGTGATTTAATTTGAATGAGTCAAGTCATAGTTTTCTGTCACCTATATAATGATTTAGAATGATATATCAAAACTTCTGCAACTACAGTTCTTGTTTTCATGGGATTTTTGTTCTCTGGGAAGTGATTTGTAATGTATTTGCCTATTTATTGCATTTCTGTAGTAAAGCCTGGAGTGTTAGGGACAGGGGCAAGCAAAACGATAGGTAATAATTCTATTTTAAATGTAGGTAAATACATTTCTTAAGTTATTTGCTTTGGATTGGGAATTTAAATATGCATTTAATTTTAATTGATACTTGTTTATCAAATGATCCATTTAAATTAAGAACATGAGGAGGGCTTTTTTTTTTTTTTTCTCCTTTGTGCAATAGAATAATCCCATCAGGCATATTTTGTTGCTGTACAACCAACTCTATGTGTGCTTGGAGAGGTTCAAAGTACAAATAAGGACAATTTTTTTTTCTTCTCTGGCAGGGATTACTTCAAAAGACATATGAAGTTATAGTAAGTACTGGAGTCCTTGGACGAGGACTTGACCTTGTCAATGTGAAACTGGTAGTAAATTTTGATATGCCTTCCAGTATGGATGAATATGTACATCAGGTAAAAAGAAAAAAAAAAAAGAAAAAAAAGAGTTGCATGAATTATTTACCAATGCATTCTTTTAAAAAGCATACAGAAATACTACTTCTAACTATGGAAATTTAAATCAAAATATATAAAGATGATTTCTATCTTCAGGGGATTGTTTTACATTCTTTTCTGTTTTGTCCTCTCTTACAGCACAAAGATATATAGGAAGCAAGATTTCCCCAATTTTTATTATCTGTGGAAGAAAAAAAAAAGGGCAAATACCCCTTTTTAGGGATATGCATGTAAAACAGAAAGGAATTTAGTCTTGAATTTTCTTTTTGTTCCCTTTTACCACCCCAGTATCTCTCCTCTGGATGACAGGCAACAGTCACGTGTGACTTCAAGGGAAATTAGATAATACTGAGAAATAGGCATTAAAAGTGTTTTTTTTTTTTTTTTGGGGGGGGGGGGGGGGGGGGGGTGCTCGTGTGTGTGTATCCTACTTCATGCTAGATGCTTACATGTGGCATTGGTCTGCTAGCTTTTAAAGTGTTATTTGGATTAGATTTACTGTCAGCCTTTAACTTGACTGCCTGTAGGTTATATTATGCATCTCAGTATCAATGTGACTTGAGGTTTGTGCCAGATACAAGTGTTAACTTCAGATACATTTGAACCAAAGCTTCAAATTTGCATATTACAAATTCAGGATTTTTTTCAGAACTTCGTGCTTAGGAGATGAGGTACAGAGATTTGGTCTTGTCATTTACAATAGTTGTTGAATGCCTAAATCTATTTTATAACAGAAAACTAACTGTAAGAAGACTTGAAGGAATTTCACTTAATATTGATTAAAAAAAATTAACTTTTTTTTCAGGTTGGAAGAGCAGGGAGACTGGGTCACAGTGGAACTGCAATTACTTTTATCAACAACAACAGCAAGAAGCTCTTTTGGGATGTTGTGAAGAGAGTGAAGCCAACAGGCACCATTCTTCCTCCCCAGCTGCTCAATTCCCCATATCTTCATGACCAAAAGAGAAGGGAACAACAGAGACTTAAACAGTTACAGAATAGCCTTGTAACAGGAGACAACCTTATGGACATTATTAGAAAACACGACAAAAATAATTCTCAGAGGTAGTAAAGGTGCATTTTTAGCTATCTTAGGTAATTATAATGAAAATTTTATTGAAAAATAAATATGGAATTACAGTGTCTTGTATTTTGCTTTTTTTAAAGAGCAATTTTTTAAGGAGTCTTATTTTTTCCATCTTTATTTTGAAACAATAATGTACGTTTGAATTAGAGTAGTGCCCACTTAGAATTTTCTAGATAAGCCTTTTTTACTTTTAAAATGAGTAGTGTTGTGTCTTGCTTGCAACACAAATGGAGAAGATTTTTTTGAATTTTGTATTAGTATTTCTGAATGACCGTTCAGGTGGCTTTGGTATCAAATTAAAAAAAATTAAAGCTAAGTATAAAAAAAAATTAAAGCTTAGTAGCTGATTTGCTTCAATAGAAGGAAAAATAGTATGCAATGTTCCTTTTCTTTTAGCATAACACAAAGAGGGGGAGTGGAAATTAAGGGCTTTATTTCTGTTTATTTTTTCTTGTGCTTTGCCCTTTGTCTCCCTCTGCTGACATTTTTTGAAGTTTCTATTCCCATCTACCCAATCTTGCTTAAAAAAAACAGTGTGTGAGCAGCGCACACACCCTCCTGGGCGCTATGAGGTGCTTTCACAGGATCACAGGATGATTGAGGTTGGCAGGGGCCTCTGGAGATCATCTAGTCTAAGGCCCCCTGCTGCTGCAGGGACACCGAGAGCATGTGGGATAGGGTCACATCCAGGCAGGTTTTGAAGATCTCCAGAGAAGGAGACTCCACAGCCTCTCTTGGCAGCCTGTCACCCTCACAGGAAAGAAGTTCTTCCTCACATAGAGGAGGAACTTTCCATGTTTCAACTTGTACCCATTACCCCACTAGCCACCCATGAGAAGAGCTTGGCCTCATCCTTCCTACATTCACCCCTCAGCTATTTGCACATGCACCTTATCAATAAAAGATCCTTCTCCAGGCTAAGCAGGCCCACCTTGCTTAGTCTTTCCTCATATGACAAATGCTCCAGCCCCTTAATCATCTTCGTGGCTCTCTGCTGGACCCTCTCTAGAAGCTCTATGTCCTTCTTGCCCCCAGTACTCCAGGTGCAGCCTCAGAGCTGAGCAGAGGAGCAGAGGGCCCTCGACCTGCTGGCCTTCTTGGCCAAGAGGGCACACTGTTAATTCGTGGTTAACTTGTCAACCAGGATTCCCAAATCCCCCTACGCGGAGCTGCCTTCCAGCAGGTCAACCCCCTAATCTGTACTTTCGCCCAAGCAGCAACTGCCAGTCTTTCCCAGCCTAATGTCCTCCAACTTTTAAACACTACAACATCTCCCTTTTCCCCGCCGTGGCGCAGCTGCTGCGCGTGGCCCCCCAACCCCGCGACAGGGGCCTCCCCCGGCG